TAATTTATATATTTATATTTCTGTACATCCACTAGTCCTCAGACATCTTCTGTGGGAAATACACACATTAGAAACGTCTCCACCCGCCTGCATTCTGGCCCCTTTTTCTTAAGCGAGTAAATGAAAATGGATTGTTCTGGCCTGGTGTGTTAATTGAACACACACCACAACACTTTAAACTGTAATTAATTGGAGCGAGTAAACATTATTGGACAAATGAAGTCTGCCCATTACGTTCCATTACCTGGAGGAAGTTCAGCCGGACAGTAATTAAATCACTGCCTCCTGATTTCCTCTGCAAGTCTGTGTTTAATATGCAGGTAGAGAATCACATGCAGAGCCAGAAACAGCATTGGAAATATTATATTAAGCTTGAATATAAATTGTGTGCACAGTATGGATTTTAAATGCAATTGTCTACTTTGGTTGCATACTTTTAGTGTACAAAATTGTACATAAAAATGAATTAACTGAATAAATGAATGATGGAACAAAACAACTTCATTAAGAAGAATAACTGGAGCCAGAAACATTAGAAATAATGTTAAATTTGTATAAAAATGGGATTTTTGTGGACAGAATACCATGCATGTGGAAAGTATTGATAGCGCTTCACTTATTCCACATTTTTTTATGTTACAGCCTAAATTCTGGAATATTTTCTGTCTGATCGTGTGTTTTTGGACCAAAAAAGTTTTAGACTGTACCTTTAAATAGTTCAGATTGAAGCTTCAGGTTCTCCTGTTTAAAATAACATATGACACTTGAGGCACTTTTATTTTATAAAAATAAAACTGATTTAAAAAGAAATGATAATATAGGCCCATTAGGTGCCCACAAAATACCTCTAGGTCTTCAAGTTTCAACTAAATTCTTTCAAGTTATACACAGCCTAACTTAATTTGTTTAGTCAGTTTGATTGACGCAAGTTAAGATGACTACAAACAATAATTTGATTCAACTTTAAGAGTGTACGTTTTTTTACAGTGTGTACTGAGTGCCAGTGCAGTACCTGTCCAGCTTGAGTCTCTGGGCCAGCAGTCTCCAGTCGGCTCCGTTTGGGCAGGGGGCGTCCAGACTGCTGCAGATCTTCTGTCGGATCAGGTAGGGGATCTGGAAAGCGCTTGGGCCGGCCAGTGCCGGGCTGCAGTTCTCCAGCAGCAGGAAGTCTGAGTCCAGAGGTCTGATGTCCTGAAACAACATCACACAACATCATCTCAACACCTGAAGCTGAGCAAGTGTTTATGGGTAAAAGAATAAACCCTTTATAGGGAACTTACTGAAGCACCATTGGAAAAACACGAGTGTGTTATTGGGTGTTATTTTTGTTTTTTAATGATTTGTTTATATAAATGCCAAATATGAAATAGCAAAAATAATATAATACTGTAATATTATGACTTTGGTGATGCAGTGGCGCAGTAGGTAGTGCTGTCGCCTCACAGCAAGAAGGTCACTGGTTCGAGCCTCGGCTGGGTCATTTGGCGTTTCTGTGTGGAGTTTGCATGTTCTCCCTGTGTTCGCTTGGGTTTCCTCCGGGTGCTCCGATTTCCCCCACAGTCCAAAGATATGTGGTACAGGTGAATTGGGTAGGCTAAATTGTCTGTAGTGTGTGTGTGTGTGTATGGATGTTTCCCAGAGATGGGTTGCAGCTGGAAGGGCATCCACTGCGTAAAACATGTGCTGGATAAGTTGGTGGTTTATTCCGCTGTAGCGACCCCTGATTAATAACGGGACCAAGTCAGAAAGAAAACTAATGAATAAATATTTTGACTTTATGCTTTATTATTCAGTATTGAAGGCAAATTTGGAGCTAATTTAATATTGAAAAAAAAATAAAATAAAAATAATTAAAATATATTAAAATATTAAATAATAAAGATAAACAAATCATAAATGCAATTTAGTTGTTTTGTAGTGTGTACTTCTTTTTTTGCAATATTTCTTTTGAATTAATTTATGTTATCTTTGTTTTTCTAAAAATGTTTAGTGACTAAAGTATTATTTTAATAAATTTGTCTGTTTTATAAATCCGTTTCGTTTATGCACTAAAACATTCAAGGATCAATTAGTTCTGACAGACAAGGTTATAATAGTTTTGGATTTTTCATAAGTTTCAGTTTTCATTTCGTTTGACTTCTTGTTTTCAAACTCAGTTTTATTTAGTTTTCAGAGGCAGATTTACTAGTTTTTATTAGTTTCTATATTTTGAAGTTATTTAGTTTTAGTTTAGTTTTTATTAGCTTCAGTATAAATTCTTTTCTAAATTAAGATATTTTGTTAGGTGCAAGATTCAAAACCAACAGAATAAATATTGTATAATAAAAACTCAGCCACACATTTCTTGAAACATGTATTCAAAGGACAGATGAACACTATACCAATACCATACAGTACACATCCTCAAACTCAAATTCAACAGCCCACAAGATAGCAGCCTTAAGTACAATATGTGTGCAAGGCTGCTCTGAGGTTAGATGCACAGTAGTGATGGGAAGTTCAGATCTTTAACGCGGATGTCAGGACTCGTGTTGTCAGTAATAGTCATTTCAGTCAGTTAAAACATCACCATGATCTGAAAAATGTCTTGCAGTAAAGTTTTGCAACACAACTGAATCATGATTCACTTATTTAAGTACTATTCTGATTTTCTGTTATGAAATAAACTTACGTTTTTTTTCCACCAGATCCTCTCATTTAGGCCCTTGGTTTACCCGCGCTGCAGTTGTTTAAGTTCAGTTCAGTCACAGCAGGCTGTCATGTGCTGTTTGTGTTTGGTTCACTGAATCATGCATGCACAGTATTATCGATTCACCGCTTCTCAAATTTAATCTCAGTGTAACATTACTGTTCTTATAACTGTATCAGAGTATATATTGAATTATTTATGGTCAGAGGGTGGTATTATACTTGTTAAAAAGTAAGTAGTTTGTGGATAAGTACTTACTGGAGATGCGAATCGTTTCAAATGATTCAGTTCAATTTGGTGAACTAACATAGTTCAACCTGTTCACTTAAAATATATGGTTACAAAGATTCGTTCGCGATCGCGATACAGAAATAAAATCCATTGTTGGGCACAAATGTGTAAAAGTAATAGTTTTAAGTGTCTGTAAATAATGCCGTCACCATGCTGCTGTCATGTCCACTCGATGTTTTTGTCGCGGGAGCAACAGTGATGAGGCTCTGAGGTGCGAACGGATCAAACACCTGCAGCGCGGAGATAAGATTAAATGGATTCACAAACCCCAAAACGAAGAAGATTTTTGCTATAATTTTAGTTTTATATGTACACAATACAGTTTCAGTTGGTTCTAGTTTTTTAAATAACTCGTTTTTATTTTTAATTGAGTTGACGAGAACTATTTTAAATACTAGTTTTTGTTTTTCGTTCGTTTTCGTTAACTATAATAACCTTGCTGACAGCATATGTTTTAAGGCTATGGTAACTTACTAAACTACACTGTAAAAGTGATTAGTTTTTTAAAGCGAGTAAACCAATTGCCTTAAAAGCAGCAAGTTGACTTTACAAAAAAGTTGTCACTTGGAACTCTTAAGTTGACTTCATTTTTAATATTATACAAATTGTAAATTAAATTTTTTTTTAAACTAATAATTTTTTCCAATACACTTTTATTAGATTTGTTTCTTTCCAGCTTTTCTGTGTTTAGCTAAATGACATTCATTCCCTTTTTTTTTTTTAGCTTAGTCCCCTTATTAATCTGTGGTCGCCACAGCGGAATGAACCGCCAGCAAAATGACAGTAACTATAATAAATCTGCTCATCCAGACTCCAGCATGTCTTCTAAATTCAATAGAGGTTATAATTGTAGATTTTATAAACTCAATGAAGCACCAAATGTGTAATATTGTTAGAATTATAGTAGTTATCTGAAAACAGACATGCTAAAATAGTCTGACACTGTAAAAAATAATTAGCTGACTTTAAAAGAGTGATTACAATTAGCATAATTATAAGAATTAAGTCAGATTAACAGTTCCAAGTGATAATGTGTTGTCTTACATTATTTTTGTTAAGTCAGCTTGTTGCATTTAATGCAATTGGTTTACTCGCTTTAAGTACTAATCACTTTTTACAGTGTAAGTTAATCATGTTCTGACTTGATTTTATAAGTTACACAAGCTGTTTTAAGTCAGTTTAGCATAATATAAGTTGAATGGACTCATAAGGTTAACTTGATTCAGCTTAAAAAAATAAGACAACCAGGATGTTTTTATAGTGTATGCAGCAAAATATATTGGCTATATTGAGAAATAAATAGGGTGTACTCATTTATGCTGAACACTGTGTGCATGTGTGTATTTATGTATGTATACAGACTCATTCACATGCATGCAAAGACACAGTAGGCAGCATTTGTAGTGGATCAAAACTTTTCAACAGCAGCCGAGCTTGTCATGCAATTTTCGAAAGCTTTTAAACGTCTTCAAACGCTGACTTTTTATATATTTGCTATTTACTATAGAAGCAGTTTACGGCAATCATTTTCTATTTCAATAATTAAGTGCTGCTTAACTGTTTTTAACGCATTTATAAAGTAATAGAAATAGCTAATAACCGATTTCTTTTGTCTTTGCTATGATGACAGCACATAATATTTGACTGGATATTGTTCAAGACACTAGTATTTAGCGTAAAGTGATATTTAAAGGCTTCACTAGGTTAATTAGGCAAGTCATTGAATAACAGTGGTTTGTTCTGTAGACAATATAAAAAAAATATATTATTATTTAGGGGGTTTTGCCAGAGATGGGTAAAAACTTGCTGGATAAGTTGGCGGTTCATTCCGCTGTGGCGATCCCGGATTAATAAAGGGACTAAGCTGACAAGAAAAGTATTTACGGGGGCTAATAACATTGACCACAGCAGTTTTTCCCCCCTAAAATAAAAACAAGACTCTCTCCAGAAGAGAAATGCAATAGGAAATAACCTTAGCGATGTTGAAGTCGAGGCTGAAGCTCTGTCCTTCTCCCTCCACCTGCCACACACACAGCGTGCAGGACAGATCACTGGTGCTCAGACTCTGCCTCTCCAGGGTGAAGCTGCAGTGAAGAGTCCTCTGAGAACCACTCCAGATGTGGTAGAACGGGATCTCCTGAACACACACACGCACACATTATTTATAGGCTATATTCACAGCTAGTGTTTTTCAGCCACCGATAAACTTCTGGTAACTTTTATGTTCACTTTAATACGGTTTCTTTCACAGCATCAATGTTTTAATGTAAATACAATACAATCAGTTAAATAGACTTCAGCATTCATTGAGTTAAAACGAGATAGAAGACTGTGTGAACAGAAGCGCCATGAGGAGCAGCAGGAGTGCAGAAACTCTACTGTAAATACTGGAGTAAAATACATTTCCATATTTTCAACATCAAAAGCTGACAGAGCAAAGATCAACATCCTATAATGCAATTCACAACCAAAAACAGACAAAATACTGAAGCGATTACCTATTAAGATTTTTTTTACAGTGTATGGATAAGATAATTCTACTATTTTTGCTGACCCAACGATAGAGTTGGTTAAAAAAACACTCACAATATACAACGCCTTGCTCACGTCCCATACTTCTACATCTGACAATTAGGGGTTTTTTTTGGGCTACGGATCTTAACATAGAAATAGAAGAAGATATTTGGTCAACAATTTTACAAAATGTCCATACATCATCTGTAAGTGCCCGTCATGGGATTCTACAGTGCAAAGTGGTCCACAGAGTTCACTGGTCTAAGTGCAAACTGGCTCGCATGTTCCCTGCTATTGATCCAGCCTGTGACAAAGGTCATGCTGAACCTGCAAATCTAGTTCACCATGTTTTGGTTTCCTTTTTGGGAGTCTGCTTTTGATTCATTTTCAGCAATTACATCTATTAATATTGATTCTTCTCCGTAAATTGGCCTGTTTGGAGTTTTTCCCCCTGACTGCGAGTTAACATTTTATTTAGCTGAATTAATAGCTTTTGTGTCATTGTTAGCTCAGGGGTGGCCAACCCTGTTCCTGGAGATCTACCTTCCTGCAGATTTCAGTTGCTACCCATATCAAACACACCTGATCCAATTAATTAGCACCTGAACACCACCTGATATTTACAGGCAGGTGTGTTTGATATAGATTGCAGCTGAAATCTGCAGGAAGGTGGCTCTCCAGGAACAGGGTTGGCCATCCCTGAGCTAGGCGGTGCCTTTTGTTGCAACGGAAGTCTCTTCAACCCCCATCAGTGGATTAAAGATGCCTTATTTTTTGTTAAATTAGAAAAAATTAAACAGTCTTCGAGGTTCAGTGGTCAAATTTTCTAATATTTGGATGTCATTCTTGGAGCATGTCAGGTCTCTGAGACTTGAGGCAGTTACTGTGGCTATGATGCATTTGCTATTTATATGGCGGAATTTGTAAGAGGAAAATCTGAACGATTCACTAGCAAGAAAACAGTTAAACAGACCATCAGTGGTTGCCAATCTTGGATTTTTGTTTTGATCAGTGCCTTCCAGATGAGCATTAGTGCTGCTGATATAGCACAAGCACACAACTCTTTCTTGACATATAACCACTAGTTTGAAGAACGTGCCACCCCCCAGACTATTTATTTTAATTTATTTTCCCTTTACTCTCGCTTTTAATTTTTTCTTTTTTTATATTTCTTTTATTATCATTGTTTAATTTACCTCAGACACCATGCTGTCAACTTCAACTTCTGGTACTGACCTGTTTATATGCTCAATTTGAAAAAAATAATGTACATCATATTGTTTATGCCTGGGCCGGCCCAAGTCTTCAGGGGGCCCTAAGCAGGATTTTATTTGGGGCCCTCTTGGAGCAAAAAAAATAACAAATTATCGTCAATTCTTGATTATTCGCACACTATAAATTTAAAACACACATTATTGATTTTATTCGCTGTAACTGAGTTGCTTACATCATAACATTTATGTTTTAAGACAATTCTAAATATTATTCTGCAGAAACAACTTCCTATTGTTCCCACTTTTTACATGACTTTTGCCACAAATCTAAATAAATAGACACAAAACATTAATATGGGCTGACAGGAACAAAAACAGCTGGAAGTAGCCAATAGCATACTTATTTATTATTATTATTATTCAGTCAAGTGCCAAACAGTCAAACATAGTGACAATAAAGACATTTTTTTTTTTAAATGGATATAAATGTTAACACTGAAAAATAAATCATATTGTATTTTGTAGTTCAAATAACTTAAAAAATATATTTAAAATAAAATCAAATTAAATCAGGAAGCATTTTCTAGACATATTCGCATATCTAGCATATTACTAAATATCTAAAGAAAATTGTTCGGTTTTTAGATATAATTCTAAATTAAGTCATTTTTTTCCTGTAAAACAAATTAATCTGCCAGTGAGATAAGTAAAATAATCTTATTTAAATCCTAAAACAATTTTTTTATTTACCCTAATTGGCAGATTATTGAGCTTTTTTAATGAAAAACCCACATAATTTTAACTTAAAATCTGTCTAGCAAATGTTTATTGGTTTAAGAACTTTTACATATTTTAAAATTAGATATTTAAAAAATTTGGGGGAGCTGGATGTCTGAAACACACAAATACCTTGGCCCAGCTTGGACAGAAGAAGGTGTCTGTATGCCTGAGATTTTCACCATTGCAATGGCTCATCTGTCAGGGGTTTACATGACAGTGGTGTATGTCTGATGATCCGCCATTATGGAAAGCGCCATCTGGTGGCAGCTGGGTGTACAGTAGCTAAAGCGGTTATCTACTGCCTGTGTGAAAAATGTATTAATTATTTCAGATCGCTTGTAAATTTAGATAAATATCTTGGCGCCAGAGTATGTATTGCGGTCGGAAATAACACGATAAATGGGCATATGTTCGAGGGAGGTGTCACGGACGCCGCCTTCTGTATTTTGCCGCCCTAGGCGTGGACATAACTAAGGTGGCGGGGGGTGAGGGAGGTATTGCGGACATAACTGAGGCGGCAATGTTGATGGAGGTGTTGCAGACGCTGCCCTCTCTATTCTGCTGCCCTAGGCGCGGACATAACTAGGGTGGCGGGGGTGAGGGAGATATCGCGGACATATCTGAGGACGCAGGTGTTGAGGGAGGTGTCGCGGACGCTGCCCTCTCTATTCTGCTGCCCTAGGCGCGGACATAACTAAGGTGGCGGGGGTGAGGGAGGTATCACGGACATATCTGAGGCAGCGGGTGATGAGGGAGGTGTCGCGGACGCTGCCCTCTCTATTCTGCTGCCCTAGGCGCGGACATAACTAGGGTGGCGGGGGGTGAGGGAGGTATCGCGGACATAACTGAGGCAGCGGGTGATGAGAGAGGTGTCGCGGATACCACCATCTGTATTCTGCCGCCCTAGGTGCGGACATAACTAGGGTGGCGGGGGGTGAGGGAGGTATTGCGGACATAACTGAGGATGCGGGTGATGAGGGAGGTGTCGTGGATGCCACCATCTGTATTCTGCCGCCCTAGGCGCGGACATAACTAAGGTGACGGGGGGTGAGGGAGGTATTGCGGACATAACTGAGGCGGCGGGTGATGAGGGAGGTGTCGCGGACGCTGCCCTCTCTATTCTGCTGCCCTAGGCGCGGACATAACTAGGGTGGCGGGGGGTGAGGGAGATATCGCGGACATATCTGAGGACGCAGGTGTTGAGGGAGGTGTCGCGGACGCTGCCCTCTCTATTCTGCGGCCCTAGGTGCGGACATAACTAGGGTGGCGGGGGGTGAGGGAGTTATTGCGGACATAACTGAGGCGGCGGGTGTTGAGGGAGGTGTCGCGGATGCCACCCTCTGTATTCTGCCACCCTAGGCGCGGATATAACTAAGGTGGTGGGGGGTGAGGGAGATATCGCGGACATAACTGAGGTGGCGGGTGTTGAGGGAGGTGTCGTGGATGCCGCCTTCTGTATTCTGCCGCCCTAGGCGCGGACATAACTAAGGTGGCGGGGGGTGAGGGAGGTATCGTGGACATAACTGAGGATGCGGGTGATGAGAGAGGTGTCGCGGATGCCACCATCTGTATTTTGCTGCCCTAGGCGGTCGCCTAGGTCGCCTCTATGGACGCGCCAGCCCTGTGTGTCGCACAGTACGAGGCTTATAGTGTGGTTTATTTCGTACTGTTATATACTTTTTTTCTTATTGTAAATACGTCATACCGCAATTTTTTTCGATATTACCGTAGTCGCATGACTCGGTAAAACTAGAGGTCTTCTGAGAAAATTTGCTCAGGCGAATGAAGCGAACGGGAGGTACCGGAAACTACAATTCCCATCAGCCCATGCATGGCCATCATCCTTAGCGGTCTGTTGTCGCTACAGATCCAGTAATGCGGAAATGGAGTGTGCTGCTAGTAGCGGGGATGAAAAAGATCAGCTGTGTTGTCGCACGCGTACTGTAAAGCAGGGAGGGGGGGTTGAGCGCGCATACTCAAGAGCGGTGTTGTTGCGCGCCTACTGAAGGGCGGGACGGAGGGTGTGTCGCATCACGGGGGCACTTTTGATTATTTTGGAAGGGCACTTTCTATCCAAGACTAAAAAGGGCATGTGCACTGCACAGGTTGAGCCCTATGTGTGCACATGCCTGCAAGTTGGGGAATACGACTAATAACAGTCATGGGGACTGCAGAAACACAGCACACTTGTTAGATTGATGCAGACATTGACTTGTACCGCAAAGAGACCTCTATCTCACTCATGGCTTGTCCTCTCAAGTGTTGGAAAGACAATGCACAATGTTACCCCACTGCTGTCAACCTGGGCTAAATCATATCTCTCTGTCCCAGAAACCTCAGTCCCAAATGAGAGGGTTTTTTCTGTTGCAGGGGACATTGTAAATACCCAGAGATACCAGCTTTTACCAGATTATATTTATATGATAATTTTCCTTTAAACCCATCTCTATCTAAGTGAGTGAGTGATTAAATGTTGAATGTGATGAGTTTTCAACAATACTAAATTGAAACTTAATTTTTTTACATGGTTTAATATTTTTTTGTTATTAAAATTGAAGTTCCTGTTTCAAAGCTTACAGATAGATGGCTAATTTGTATGTCATTGACACTTTTGGCACTTTTTTGGAGT